GCGCTCTTCGCAGTCCTCGACGCGCGCTCAGTCGCGTTCGCCGGGTCCTCCGTACTCCCTCTGCGCGCACGCGCTGCGCGCTCCGCCTCGGGCTCAGTCCCGGCCTCCGCAGTAGTGGGGCGCCGTTTGGCCGTCTTTTCCCTGTCAGCGCGCGCCTTGTAAGCACAGGAGAACTTCCTCTAGGGCTTCTTGCTTTGCCTTACCACTTCGCAGTCCTCGACGCGCGCTCAGTCGCGTTCGCCGGGTCCTCCGTACTCCCTCTGCGCGCACGCGCTGCGCGCTCCGCCTCGGGCTCAGTCCCGGCCTCCGCAGTAGTGGGGCGCCGTTTGGCCGTCTTTTCCCTGTCAGCGCGCGCCTTGTAAGCACAGGAGAACTTCCTCTAGGGCTTCTTGCTTTGCCTTACCACCGGGTAGGGAGGGTCTCGACGCTGCCCAGCCGTTCTTTGTATACGGTTTTCATAGAAAAGCCTTTAGCTAAGGGGGAGACTAGTTTCCTTTCGAGGGCGTGCCCCCTGCACCCCAGCGCTGTCGCCTCCCTCCAGAAAGCGACCCCCAGTGCCGGGGCAGCAGCATGGAGGGTCCCCAGGTGCTGTGCTGTGTGCCAGGCAGCGTGCCACGCACACGTGTGTGTGTGTGTGTGTGTGTTGGGCAAAGTTGCTGCCAAAGAACGCATCGCTTACATGGGGAGGATTCTCACCCCACCAGGTGGGGATGATTCATAGCAGAGATGAGGTTTTACAGGGTCAGTGAGGGACAGACAGCACCGTCCCCAGAGCAGGCTTCCCCTGCTTTGGGTGTCCTCCCCCTGGCTTTCCCACAGCCATGTATATTGAGGGGCTTGTGTGGAACTAAGCAGCGTAAGGTGTTTATTATCCTTCTCTACCTTCTCCTCCTTAAGACCAAGAACTTCATTGTTTTGACTTTATTAATTTATCTATCCATTTATGGGCCCACAGTTCCGATCTGGTGGGCCCATCCTACATAAGTCCTGTAAGAGGCTTTTGGAAGGTTTTGACATCAGCAAATCGGATCGTTCCTTCTTCACAGTCATTTTGCTTTCTCTTTGTAATCTTTCCCTGACACAAATCTTTTTTCTGCCCTCTGCTTTTTCCTCCCCTTCCCCCACCCCCAATATTGGAGAGTGTTTACCTAGGGGAGTATAATCTAATCCACACAATTAAAGAGCACTTGAGTAGGGAATAAAATCTGAAATTAATTAATTTGCTGTTTTATTTAAACAATTTATCTTAACCACTTTCTGATTATGGGAGTCTATTTAGACATCTATTTAGAACCGCTTCTGTTGTCTCTGAATTGGGGAAATTTTGAAAGGCTGATATCAGGCTTTGACATTTCCCGTTAGACTGGTGACATGGCATGTAAACAGTTGGTGAAATGAATTTCCCACTGGGGCTACAGCAGGGCGTGAGACATGAGAGTGATGATAACTTTGGTTACTCTGAACAACCTAACAGCAGATCTGGCAAAGACAATTTAAAGACCCCACTGGGATTTGTGTGAGTATAAGAACAGAGAAAATATACAATAATCAGTTGAATTCAAGAATACCTCAAACCCTAGAGATCAGAGCCATGCTTATTTGCCTGTGGTTCTTCTTTTGAGAGTTGGGAAATCAAAACTTTCCAATCTGCCATAATAGTTGCAATAATAACTAAACATGGGTGCTTTACAGTTTAACAAGCATTTACGTCTCTGTGATCTTTCTGTACCCTTCCTTCCTAGGGTTGCCCTCCTTTAAATGTCTCAGGGTCGCACTTCTCAGTTTAAAAAAAAAAAACACATTTCAGAAAGCTTTCAAGATGTCTTTGATGCAGAGCAACCCAATGTTTTCTAAATCCTTATCTTGCATATATCTATGAAACAGGGCGAAGTCTAAAAATGGAGGAAGATCTTTAAGAGAAAAACTGGACAAAATAGGATTAAATCTGCCAGCAGGGAGACGTAAAGCTGCCAACGTTACACTGCTTACGTCACTAGTGGAGGGTAAGCGAATCCACTTGCTAACTAGAAAGGAACTGCCTTCTGGGGAAATGGATAATATTTAGTGGCCAGATGTTTGGGTATTTTGTGTCAATTGGGCAGTTTTGTTTTTCCAAAGAATATAGCCAGAAGTGAATGGAATTCTTGCGTGCCAAAAAACTCTGTGCATATACTCCTATCCTCCTTCTTCCCCTCTACCACAAAATTACACCTTTGCAACCCATTTGTGACCTAAACAGTGCACAAATTTCAGAACTGCCCATTTCCCAAGAGTTCTTTAAAGAGCTCAACAGTAAATTACTTAAGTTATTCTGACATCTGTGTTTGAGAAATGCGTGACCATTACTTCCTGAATTAATTTGGGAATCTTTGACCTGTATCCTGATTTAAGACTGTCCCCAAAAGCTCAGGGTTTTAGGCCCTTGTAGGTTTTTGTTTTCCAAATAATGCTCTCTTATCTCTTGTTTAATTGTGCTTCTCTCCTGAAAGAGAAGAAAGTAAGCTGAGATTGTTTGGATATGGAAAAGAAAAAAGAAATATAAGCATTGCAGAAAAAGTTTCTCATGGCAGTTTTTAACACACACCCACATACTCACCCTTCCAAACTCCTGGAAATAAAAAGCCAACCATGTCCTCACTCCCTGCTCTAAATAAACTGACTCTAGAATCCATTCACATTCCTGTCTCTTTAGAGTCCTATGTTTTTTTCTAATACTAAACTGTCTCAAGTTTGCGTGTTTTGGACTGAACGTATAGCTCTCTTGCATTTTTCTTTATCTCATGCTGATGGTGAAAAAGACACTTAAATTACCAGGCAGATTTAAAAACTAAACTTTGTGTTTAAAGGAGGCATTTTACCTTATTTACATCTTGCATTTGAGGAGATACATTGCAAGTGAATCCAAGTTCTGACTTTAAAAGTTACTTTTAAAAAATGCCTAAAACCACGTATTTGAGAAAGAATTGTATGAATTCTATTTGTGGATGGTGTCAAAGACACTAATATAACAGTTCTAGAAACCAGCAATTGTTCAGTGCCAGAAACTCAACTATGATAGCATTATATTAAAATTATAACAGCACGCAGACGAACCTCTATTCATACCCCAAAAGAGTCATCGGCCATGATGGCTTAGGGTGTAGGGAGAGTTGGCCTGGATCTGGGGGTTGAGTGCTGTAGCAGGCAGGCAGTTTCTGGAGAACTGTTATTGTTTGTGATCCGCTCCATTTTATGGAAACAAGCTCTGCGGAGAGGGCTTTGATGCTCTAATTGACGCATGCGTTCTTCCGGAGCTGGAGCTAATGGCAGGAAGCCCTGCAGTAAAAACCAACTGGTTCAGGAAATTAAAACCAAAGATTCGAAAATCAACAACACAGACAGACTCAGTGGAGTGACCCTCAAATCCTCTTGGTTAATCGGTTTGGATGAACAGATAATTATATGTGATCGAGTTAAAATGTAAACTCTCAGTGGTTCCCCGGTAGAAAAGCTCAAGGCGTAATCACGAATTTCATCTATGTGTGTGTTGGAAGGTGTGAGGTTGGAATACAGAACCATTTTAGGAGAGAAGGTGGGAAATAGTCAGGTCAGTGGATGGGAGTGGAGGTTGGTGGGTGAGATTCACATTTTCAAAACATCTTGGCCTTTTGGGACAAGAGGTCATTTTTATTGATGAGCGCACTCAGATCCCTTAGAGGAGGAAATAAAATGGCTGGGCCAAGAAAACAAGTAGTTTGTGTTTCCTCCCACTTCTGGGCTAAGAAAATAAGGGAGTTGGGCACAGAGAGGAAGTTTTGATCCTAGTGCTCTTCATTCTCTTGCCCTCCCTCCTCCTCTTGCCAGGAGAAGCTGTCCATCTAGCCAGGGACTTTGGGTACGTGTGCGAAACTGAATTTCCTGCCAAAGCAGTAGCTGAATTTCTCAACCGACAACATTCCGATCCCAATGAGCAAGTGACAAGAAAAAACATGCTCCTGGCTACAAAGTAAGGCATTTATCTCCGCGGGGTCTCTTCTGTGTCTCATTGTCAAGAGAAACAAAAATTGTTTTTTGCTCTGCTTTTTCTCCTCTTTTCCTTTTGCATGAATCAGCCCTGTTGTAAATACTCAAGTTACAACAAGATCTTGTAAACCATGATCTGTGCGAAAGGGGAAATACAGATGGGATTCTTAGTGTAGTTCCATGTCTTTCTTCTCTTCTGTCCCACTTTCTCATTTAAAAAAATATTTTAAATTACTACATATGCAAGTGAGGTGTTACAGGGGTTTGATCGAAGCTGAATGTGAGTTTGCGACCGTGTTGTTTCAGCAAGGCAGGAATCACACTCTCAAAGGGTAACTAACAGGGTTGCCCATCAGCTTTTGTCTCCTATCAATCTATTCTCCAAGGGCAAAGATTAAGCAGTGGCCTGCAAAATGTGCAAGTCAGAAGCTGGCCTAGTTTCAACTCTGATCCCTTATTCCATTTCTTGCCTTCCTTTCTCTCCCCACTTCAGAAGTGGTGTACACGTGCGTGCGCATGCACACACACACACACACACACACACACACACACACACACACGTGCACCACCACACAAGTTTTAGCCTACAGGCAAGATGTCAAATAGGTTTCAAAATGGCCCAAGTTCTATTCCCACCAGTGCCTGCACTGAATAGACTTCTCCAGGTGGTGTGTGAAAAGAAGAAAATGACTGTTTTGATATGTTTTGTGGAAATTAAAAGGCTTGTTGGGAAGCCCTTAATTATCCAAAGTCCATGTCACAGAAGGGCATAGAACCAGAGGGTGGAAGCTTCTGGCCTGGAGACATGAGTGGCCTTGGCGGAAGAGGCTGGCCCAGGCTTCTCACTCTTTGGTTCCCACCCCACCCCATCCCCCAGGCCGGGCTGCAGCTGCCTAGGGAAGGTCCCTGCCAGTCCTTGCTTTCAGGCTGGGACAGAGCAGCCTGTGTGCTAGCCTCATCTGCCCAGATTTCTGACTTTTCAAGACTCTTTGTCAAGTTTTAGTTTTCCTCCCTTCCCTTGGCTTCTTCCTAAATGCAGCCATATTCACAATTTCCCTAAAGACTTTTTATTTGGGTGAGTGGAGGAAAAGAGAGGAAATGGGAAATTTAAAAATCTATTTCTTCTTCCCCTAAACCACCTTGAATTATCTCCAAGAATGGGTTCACCCCTCCCCATTTTTTTTAAAAGTCAGAATAGTCCCAAGCAAAGTTTTCCCTTTCTTTATTTGATTGGAAGGTGAATGGGTGGAGACTTCACAAACTGCTTCCAAGGGCTGTCTCTCTAGAGGAGCAGGGCAGAGTCTGTATGGCCTTTCGGAAAGGAAGGATGTGGTTGTACCCATCAGCCAGAGACATGTGTTTCTGACTTCTGGTCTAACTTGCCTTTCTTTGTCATGCAGTGTGTGAAATGCTTTCCTTTTCATGTAGGATGTTCGGGTGAGAAATGGGGTGTGTGTAGAAATTTGTTTTATCTGAGATGAGACAGAGAGGAGAGAGAAGGGAGGGAAGAACAGAGAGAGAGAGACACAGAGAGAGAGAGAGAGAGAGGCGTTTAGGAAGGCAGGGAGAACCTGCAGTTGGGGACACAAAGGTGGTTCAGTGGACACTGCAGGCTCTCCCAGAGCGTGGCCCCCCACCTGCCAGTGGCCTCTAGCCCTGCAGTGCCCACTGGGTGGGGACAGGTAGCTTCAGGGAGTTTCCTCGCCCCTGGTACAGCCCGCAGAAAGCCTCACGTCTCCGTCTTCACCCCATTTCTGCTGCAGACAGATATGCAAAGAGTTCACCGACCTGCTGGCTCAGGACAGATCCCCCCTGGGGAACTCTCGGCCCAACCCCATCCTGGAGCCCGGCATCCAGAGCTGCTTGACACACTTCAACCTCATCTCCCACGGCTTCGGCAGCCCGGCGGTGTGTGCCGCGGTCACAGCCCTGCAGAACTATCTCACCGAGGCCCTCAAGGCCATGGACAAAATGTACCTCAGCAACAACCCCAACAGCCACACGGACAACAGCGCCAAAAGCAGTGACAAAGAGGAGAAGCACCGAAAGTGAGGCTCCTCCCTCCCCGCCCCCACCGGCAGGTGACAGCTGGGGACCAGCCACCCTTCCTCCTCCTGCTGCTGCTGCTGCTGCTTCTGCTGCTGCTGCTGTGCCGCCCTCTGGCCCCTGAGTCCTCGGGACTGCTCTCTCCACTGCCATGGGGCAGCCACTGCCGCAGACTCCGCCCCCTGCCTCGACTTACCCCCTCACCCTCTTGCAGAGCCTAAGAGAACAGAGCAGGCCGTGAAGCCAGCACAGAAAAGTTCTGTTGAGTTTGTGAATCTTTTTTTTTTAACCAACAAATCAACAACAAACATTAAAGACTTTTTTTTCTAAAAAACACAAAAAATTTAAAAAAATTATATGAGCTTCATGGGACTGAATCACCACCTTCCCTTGCATACTTCAGTTCAGATTGTAGCCATACTTTTAAAAAAGGCAAAAAGCTTAATGACATTTTTATCAGTATTGTGAATAAACTTGAACGCAAATACACGAAGTCCCATGTCGTGTCTTCAGTTGTAGAAGTTTTTCTTCTCCAAGGTAAAGCGACCAGCTTGGACTTTCTCTGGCAGCACGATTCAGTTACATAGGGGAGTCAGTATTCACAACTCTGTATATATTTATTTATGTGTAATTTAATGGGATTTGTAAATATGGTGAGTCTGTTTTAAGCCTTTTTTTTTTATTTATCTGGTGATCTCGTTTACCTCTTGTTTAGTGGGTTTTGAATCTTCCCTATTAGTTCTTTCATGTGGTTCATGGTACTTATTTAGAAATCCAAGGTTTGGGGAATTTTGTTTTTCCTCTGGGATTCATGAATTAGCCCTGTTGTAGCATGTTAAAGGCAAAAATGAAACAGCTGGACAAATAAAAGAAAGGAAAATAAAATTTTATATATAATTAGTATTACATTTAGCTTTTCATTGAACTGAAAGAAAAAAGTGACATTGGACCCTGGAAAGATTTTTAAACTTAAGCAGTTTGATAACCCTTCTATGTATTGTGGGGAGAAAACAGAAGTTTATTTTATTCTACTGTCCTTCCTTAAAAGCATCATCTGAGCAATAAATGAGTATTGTCTTTATACCAAGGGTTAGGGATTTTTCCTCTCTCTCTCTCTCTCTCTCTCTTTGTTCAAAGAACTTCAAACATGAGGGACCACCTGGTGCCCTGTATTTCCACTGGCCCTATTGGAAACAGTTCTAGTTGTATTGTATTGAGCTGTGCCGGCAGTAGTTTTCATGCCTGTCAATGTATCATAGCCCTTTGTTGCCCAGATAAATAAATATTTGATACGCTTTATGTCGATTTTTTTTATTCAGTGGCTGTCTTTACCCAGGCGTATTTTTGTTCTTGGCAGTATTTTTTATTCAGTATGGTTACAGTAATTGAGTTTAACTCTCCCTTGGCAATTGCTCCTTGCAATAAGCAGCTGAACCCATTGTTTCCCTCAAGTATAATAAAAACTTACTTTCAACTTGGAGTTCAGAGCAGGGTATCATTTAGATATTCCACTGAGTCTGTATTCAGACAAATGACACAATAAAACCCAATGTATTCTTTTGGATAAAAGATTGTTTGTACTGCTAAAGGAATGACATACTGTCTTTTCCTTACCAGAAACATTAATTTTATTATTAAAAATAAAGTTTTATTTTATTTACGTTGATCCTTTAGGTTTTCATTTGTGTTTTGGAAACCAAAATATAAAACCTCCAGAGCCAAACATTAAGAGTGCCCAGATGATGGAGAATGGAGGAACCAAAGACACCCCCCCAGCCCCATAGGTGCTTTCCAGTCTGTCTCAGAAGATAGCTGAAATTCAAATGGATAGTTCATTAGCAGAAAAAAAAAATCCCTACTTCAACCTTTACTTGTTTGTTCAGGGTTCTCTGTGGCTGAGGTATAACCATGAGCTAAACACAGCTCTACTTTTCTGGGAGGAGAAAAGGAACATTCATAGAAATTTGCATGGAACATAGAGGGCAAATTATCTCATGTTAACATTTTATCTAGAGATGAGTTTACTACTGCGCTGTTTCAAAGTGTCTCTGGAGGTAACGGAGTGCAGTGGGAAATGATGCTGACCCTTGGAGTCTTCTGCTTGCCCCCTGAAAGCCAGCTCAGCCCTTCCCTTCTCCACAGGGCTCCTCTTAGGACCTTTTAGAAACACAAAGTGGGCCAGGTGGGGGGTGCCGGTTGGGGAGAGCTGAGAAGCCGCCCACCCTCTGACTACTCCGGTCTTCCTCAGTAACCGGACTGTGTGAGCTCTGCGAAAAGGAAGGACTTCCTGTGTATAAAGATGGCGAACTCAGAGCTTTTGTAAACTGATTTGGAAATTCTTTGCTTTGGAAGTGAGGGTGGAAGATGAAGGTTGGAGGATGGCTGACTGGAAGGATTATAGGAAAGGGCTTAGCCAAAGTGTCTAGGCAGACGGGCTGGGGTGGGGTTTTAACATTTGTTCTTGGGGCTTGACAGTTCTGAAGGACCAAGGCAGCAAAGCAGTAGAGTGTCCATTTTGCTGCTCTTTGCTTTCTAATCTCCTTATGGAAGGCAGTGCAAAATCAATCTCCACAAATGAACGAGAGTTGGTGGAGTCTAAATTCTATTTTCCAAAGCCAGAGAATTCATAACAATGGTGGGTTTAAAAAATTCTAATGGAAAGTGTATTCTCAGAACGCAACGCGGCAATTGTTTTTTAAAGCGGTTATTTATTATTTCCTAGAGAGACTGGTTAACTGTAACATAGATGTAACAAAATAATGAGGCGAATGAACCCTAACTGTACATACTCCTGACAGAAATGAAATGCACACAGCATCATAGCAGGTGAAGTGAGGCATTGTCTATCAGGGCTGTTTTTCTTGGCTGCTTCTCAGATTGTGTGGGGGATCCTAACCTCAGGCACAATCGCATTCACAAACAGCCATACATTGCTGCTCTTTCTCCAACGACACATAAATACTCATTTTCAAACGAAAACGATCTTATTAAATACCATTCATTCATATCTGGATTTACAGATGCTTGTTATGTTGGAAAACCCGAACCCAATATAATCCTTGCATCCTGAGAAAGATAGAAAGGAAATAGTGGGTTAGAACATTACAAGATCATACTAAACAATGGTTTCCAAATGAAGGGAATTAGTTATTTTTAGTCTGTAGTTGGACATTTGGAGGACTGTGTACTATCACTCTTTGTTTCTTCTTGTTTTAACAAAAAGGGGGCTGAATGTATTGTTAAGGGATGGGTGATAAGGGAGGTTATTATAAAAATAATTTTGGGGGGCTAACCAAAGGCTATGTGGGTTTTGACTTTCTTGTGACCATTGTATACTTCCTAAATCACATGGTGGTTTCATGACAGTTCAGGTGTTTGTGTATTAACCTCGATGATTCTCTTTGGATTAAACCAAATTAGGATTCATAGCTGAATTATAGAAATGCTGATAGGCCATGCTTATCACCACACCCATTTTTATGTAAACACATGCTTTTTCTGGTTTGTAGTCATCCTTATCCCCTCTGTCCTCCAACACCCTTTCAAAACCACAATTCAACCCATTCCTCCCCAAAATCGAATATTAATACAATTTGCGTTTTTGATGGAACTACCATCAAGCCTGCAATGCCCCGCAGCTGAAATAATATTTAAAATAGAAGGGATTTGACATTTGAGAAGTCAGTGGTTTGAAATACCCAGTTGTACTTAGCTAATTCAGTCCTTAACCTCTGGTTTCAAATAAATCAATTACAGTCGATTCCACTTCAGTTCAGAAGTGCACAGGGTTTTAGTTAATTGAATACATTTTATTCACTTGCTAGGAATATTCATTTATCAAAATTCCAAATTTAATATACATTTCTTTACCACTCAGGTTATGTTAGACTGCACAATCAGGTCCAATTTGCCCTGGTTTCCCCCAAATCCTGTTTAAAGCCCAAATGTTACTGCTGCATGAAACAATGTCTCCCCATTCCCTGTTCAACCAAAAGTAAATTGGAATTTTTTTTTTTTGTCAAACAGGAGAGCTGAGTTTCCCCACAAAGAAAATATATTCGGTCACCAGCCTTGTGTTAAGTTTAAATAGGTTAAGAAAAAATGGATTAATTAAGTTTTTTTTTAAGTATAGACTGGAAATAAAAAAAAAAAAACCACCCCGCATGGTTTCCATTAGAGCTTAACTTTGCTGCAACTGACAGGTATGACAACATTTTGTGGTCTTAGAGTTGCAGACACTTTTTCTTAACCCTCTCCTTCCTCTGCCTCCTGCCCTCTGGCTTTTAGAGAAGTGCTTGAGTAAGTACGGAGCTGCTAGCTGAAAGCGGTACAGTTAAATGTGCCTAAATGAAGTTGTGCTTTAAAAAGATATTGATGTATGCAGTGTTTTATATTTATTGTTTGTAGCATCCTGCTGGCAGCAGTTTTACTGTTTGGAGAGGAAAGGGGTTAATTAGCGTCATTATCAATCACTAATGCTTGCCTAACGTGTCCAAAGAATAATCAAGTTAGAGGACGGCATGGAGCCAACAGCTGCTTCATCCCAGTTACAGATCTCTTGAGCCTCCCGGTTGTGGGGTGGAGGGGAGGTGCAGTGGGGGAGAATCTTCACTGTTTGGGTAAAGGGGCTATAAAAATCGGGTCAACTCATGAGAGATCTGGGAGGCAGAAAGTACACCACAAATAACCAGTGTTTTTCATTCTCTGAGTTACAGGTGCACACTTACAGTGGCTCTGAGACAAGAGTACTGAAATTTGCTCTTGGGTACTCTTCTTGAGTACCCAAGTTGGAGATTTGAAGAAACACATCCATGTATGAGAGAGAGAGAGAGAGAGAGAGAGAGAGAGAGAGAGAGAGAGAGGGAGAAGGGGGGCGTGGGACCAAAAATAAGCTCAAATGAACGTACAGCATCACACAGACAACACCTTCCAGAAGAATAAAACCATAGAACATGATGGGTAATATCAGTTCCCACACCCCTGCACCCAGTCTTACTCTGCTCAGGGATATTTTTTCCTTGTGAATTCCAATGAACAATTCTTTTCTATATTAAAGTTAATTTAATACCTGCCACGCACAGGTATTCTGGTTCTAGCCTCTTATTATTACTACTCTTAATGACATTGTCCTCCTTGTGACCCACCTTGGGTAAGAAACCGAAAAAGTGTGACCCTCTTACGGGTTCCTTTCAGGAGAAATTTGTCTTTAAAAAATTCTTTGCCAAGTTAGCCATGAGTTAGAACTGAAATCTCTACTCATGACCAGAGTTTAGTCAATTGTTCTTCAAAGGCAGGGAGGAACTGGTTGGAGATAAGACAATTTATAAACAGCAAGGAGGCTTATGATCGAATAAACACTGATTTCTTTCTACAAAAGCAGAAGCCCCAAATCCTCTTTACCCGTGTGGACATAATGTGCACTTAAGTCTTACCTCCAAGAGGTAAGTGACTGGTTTCCCCCATAATGGACATCCGGGTCACCATCAGAGTGGGAAAAGAGAAGGATGTTGGGATGGAAAATGATATAATTCATGTTTATGTAAAGTCCTGTGTTTAAACAGCATAATCTACTGCTTATGATCACGACAAAGGAAAAGAGAAGGAGGAGAAGGAAGAGGGGGGAAAAGAAAACGCAATTCTATGCTGAAATTGGGGGGGGGACTAAATTTTTAAAAGTCTTATTCATGTGGAAGACTGTATTTCTGTTTTATCTTTGATATCAGGACAGAACAGCAGAACCAACTTAGCCTTCACAGAGAAGTTTATTGGTGAACAGAGCAGAAATGCTTAGTGGAGTTTTAGAGAAATTGTAGAGAGAGATTATTGGAGAGAAGCCCAGGGAGGGGGCATTCTTCAATGGATTCAGTGGACACTTACAACAGCCCCCCTCCCCTGTCTCCGGTGGTCTGAAGGCGAATTTTGTAGATTGACCTGGACTTTCTACACTAACATCCAATTAGATCCACTTAGAGAGCGGAATATGTTCAACACTGGGATGGCATCTTTTTTTTTTTTTTTTTTTTTTTTTTTTAAAGTAGCCCGGTCTTTTTTTGGGTTTT